TCTCTCCGCTAAATGTGTGATTGTGGAATAAAATTAGTTCCAGATGTGCAACTCCTCAAGCAGCGCGAGCTATGCAGTGCAGTGAATACCACCGAGTACCGTACTGGGTAGTACTTCCAAGTACCTCCCTGGTCCTGGTGCCCATTTGTTATCAGGACGTGGATCATACATGCATAATACATGTTCCATACTCATTACTGGTAACTTGTGTGATAAGTTACATGGCTGCTTGATACGGATAAGACAGACCGAAGCAGTTCTACCCAGGAGCAAAAGAAAGTGGCTGACCCCGCGTTCTCCAGATACACTCAGGCGTCATCTTAGGCACAAGCTAAACTCACCTCGTAAACACCAAGGAAGCGAGCTAGGGTCCCCGAACACCAGCCTAGTAGTAGAACACAAGATCATGGAAATAAACTTGATACAGCGACAATCGACTGAAGCCAGCCACACACGATGCAGTGCAGTGGTGTGTGCGTGTGTGTGTGTGGAGAGAGAGAGAGAGAGAGAGAGAGAGAGAGAGAGAGAGAGAGAGAGAGAGAGAGAGAGAGAGAGAGAGAGAGAGGGAGAGAAAGAGATAGAGACCAGGACACTACATGCAGAATGGAAACCTACTGATGCCTCACCTCATGCAGCAACAGATAACAGATTTACACTTAGTCTGTGCTATCATCACAGTTTCACTGTGTACCTGACTGGAATGCACATACATGGCTTGGACAAGCTGTGAGACAACAACCATTATTCTCCAAAGGCATTGTGTCTCACCTCCTCCAGAGCTTCCCGAACAGCGCATTCGCTAAGAGTTTCGCCAGGGTCTACACCGCCAGCTGGGACTATGAACATATGCTGGCGGCTAGACGACGACACCAGAAGAATCTGTTGGCAGAATGGAGGTACAAGGACGGGTCAATATCCACTGCAACTTGAGATAATGAGACTACAGCAGCTAGCCCGTGTATGCACTACTCGTTGTGCAAAGTCATGATGACACAACCATAATCAGATTCAAAATTTCATCGTTACTGGGAGGTGTAATTGCCATAAAACGCTCTGAATGATACAAAATATTTGTTCGAAATACAGCCACTTTAGGTTACCGTGTATACGACTCCCTGATAAAATTATATAATTGGAGAAGGATGCCGCAGCTGTCATCACCATGACTTGGATAACAGTCTGCAACAACTACACGTAATTTGGGACCATGTGCCAAGTGCACTCTCTCTCTCTCTCTCTCTCTCTCTCCCTCCCTCCCTCCCTCCCTCCCTCCCTCCCTCCCTCCCTCTCTCTCTCTCTCTCTCTCTCTCTCTCTCTCTCTCTCTCTCTCTCTCTCTCTCTCTCTCTCTCGACATACAGGGCAGGGCGTCAGCACCTTACTTACAGTCGTGTCAGAAGTGAAAAATCCCAAAAAAAACTAGTGCTAGAATTGCCCTTGACCTGGCCAGTGTGCAAATACAGTGTTTTCTCTAATAAAAGCAGTCTCCAATAAAGGCGCACTGCAGCTGCATGCATGCATTGAAAAAGGAAAGAAAAAAAGGCGACATTCTCCAATAAAAGGCATGTGCAACTTTGCCCGAATGCACCGGGAGTCTCTGTTACAAGGTACCGGGTACCACACGTGGGCTTCTCATCTCCTTAGTTCTCTTTTTTATGTTGGTTACCGGTAAGAAATATATATTCTGTGCGACAACCGTTTCGTACCCTTAATTTCTGGTACGGACACTGGTATTTATCGGAAGTATGAACGGCAAAGTGGGCTTGAAATTATAAAAGCACAGTCTCCAATAAAGGCGCGTCTCCAAAAAAGCACGAGTCGGACCGTCGGAGGGTGGTTCACAAAATAAAAGACGCATGCTTTTGCTTTTATCAGAGAAACGCGGTACAGTGAATCCGTGTTTTGCTTTTTTTGCTATTCTAAAAGCACTACTGGTAGCACACTAGGCACTAATTTGCTCAATATTGCCCCTCGATATGCTTCTTGTGGATAGTTTTCCACTTTACATCTCACCTACACCACTATTAGTAACTTTTACTTGACAGGTGTGGCAATTTTAAGCGCCCCTCTAATCCCCATTGATATAAAGTATAATGCAGAGGGGCACTACTGTTTATGGAGTTAGAACAACTCACGGCCAATTAGCAGTGGAACTTACCCGTTGAAAATTAATAAAAAGGTCTGAACAAGGAATGTTGACAAAACAGTTTCATACCTCTTTTTCTTCATTATTCCGAAATATAATGCAACCAGCTCGTCGACGAAATCCATCAGCATCAAAAGTCCTCATCTGGGAATTCTTCCCCGGACGTCTCTCCCCACTGTCTCGCAGCCATTTCTCATTCACCTCACGGCAAAAGTCTCCCTGGCTCATCAGAACACTCGAGTAGCCTGCCAGCTATTCAGTGATGGCCTAAAGTTAGAGAATTCTCATTTCCTGAGCCATCCCCTTGTAAACCAACCAGTTAACTAACCTGCACTTTGCTACAGTGTTGCTCCGACTAGTCAGGGAACAATTATGGTGAAACTACTGCTATGAAAATGAGCATGAGCTATTATTTTCAGAAACAAAATTGCCACTTCCACATTGAGTTTGCCATCACTCCTCAGTACTGAATCGGGGAGTAGTATAAATGCACCTGGCATTTTACTACTCCCTTGTGGCATGGTCCCATGCATGCACGCGCGCAGCGCCACGCGTGCACGCATGTGTCAAGTCAAGCTTGCAACTGGTCGGCCAGGCCGGTGGGATAGGACAGTAGGGCGCGCATCGGAAAGGCGCTGGGACATTAGGGCGCCGGGCCCCTCTGTAAAAGTATGGATTTTTCAGTGTGACATTTTAAATAATTGCATACTTGTAAAAGGAGTATTTCGTTTGGCCACACGTTTAAGATGGCCAGCCTAGTTTGTAGACGTTGTTCAAGTATATTCCCTACCAGGCGGAATATTTTCAGAGATATACAGGGGCTCTCAACCTTTAGGCGAAGTCTTGTTTTGCTGTCCAAACAAAATGACAATTTTAATTTTGTTACGTGTGGAAATGATGTTTCAAGGAACCACCTCAGAACTCCCCTCGATTCGTCCTTAGGCCTGGTGTTCGCCAGGCGTTATTGTGCTGAGAAAGGTGATCGAAAGCAAGAACAGGAATCCTCCGAAAATGACAGTGCAAAGGTAGGGAGGAGGCCAGTCCATACATTGTTCCATGACGTAATCATTGTACTGAAGCAGTGATTTAAGAAAGGAGGAAACCCTGATGAGATGTATCTCCCCCCTCCCCCCCCCCCCCCCCCCCCCCCGACGTCAATTCTGTCGACCGTGATTAGGGCCGATTTCCACTACGGTACCGTCAATGCCGTGTCGACGATTTGGGTGGGTCACGTGTACCACATGGTACGTGCTGGAAGCTGAGAGTGATTTACACCTGCGCACAGTCGTTCCGTGCATTCCGTGCAGGCCGGATCACCATTTTTATCAACTTCTGACTTTGGTCTGGAGGGAAAATAGCAGGGGAGATGACTGGGGAAAGCTTGAAAATCAATCAATCGAAAAGCCAAGAAAAAACTTCGTACCACAAATACCGAAGAAAGAAAAACTTTGTTTGACTTCCTATCAGGGAGTAGTAAAATACCAACTACTCACTGCATTCGACCTCACGGAATACCACGGCATGCCGTTTCCATCTCCCAGAGGCCCTCGGCACCGGAATGGCCACGACGTGGTACGGCACGAGCCACGGAATGCACTCTCGCCAAAACTGCCCTTCACGTGAGCAAGACACCATAGGTGCTCACGGCACGGCACTCATGGTACCGTTGTGGAAATCAGCCCTAAGCGTGAAACGGTAGGTCTCCTTGCCAATAAACATGTAGACGCTCTTCTCGTCTGGAGCCGACACGACACGGGCACAGTGAGGTTACGCTCGTCCAACTTCTTTGTAACCGTGCGCCCGCCTGACGGGTGCTGGTGGACGAATGCGGATGATCATGAATCAGTGGGTGAACCGTGGGTTTACAGTGGGTGTACAGCAGAAGGATCAGGATGCCAGAACAATTGATCATGCAGTGCGTTTAACAGTGGCATTGTGGGGATATCCAGTACTAGTACTAGACTGTCTGTAGGTGGGTGCCATCTGTGATTACTGCCGTGCCCGATTGCATTAAGTTATGTCTTCTTTTCTGGCCAGACTGACACGGGGTGTGTAGAGCGAGTAGACGTGGAGAAAACCTACACGGATTACTGCAGGTGTACCGCGTGGGTGGTTGCTGTGGAGCCCGGGTGGGCGTGCATGCCCTGAAGTCATGCCGCTACATAATTACGATGATGCAGGTTTGGCATGGCAGTCTGGTGGCTATATCTCCATGCATGCTGGAGACACGGTTCCATGACACACTGATCACCTATGGCTTGCACACGGTTTTGCACAGTGCATGCCCGCATTCTTGTTGTCAGGCGGATCTACAGTGCTGCTCAATGAAATCCAATCGCGTGAGTTCAGTTTGCGTAGCCCTGCACCAGTACACATCCCAGCGTTGTCAGGCCAATGGCTGCGCAGCATCCGGCGTGGCATTCACTAGCTTGATTGCGTTCCATGGAGCAGCACTGTACTAGGTTGCGCTGTATACGAGGACTTTAAAATGCTGTAATTGTGATGTGCTCATTGCCTGTTGAAATGATGGGTTTTGCATTTACTGGTTTGCACAGACAGATTCTAAAGAGTTGAAATGCACAAATGGTTGAAATGCACACACTTGAGAGGAATCAAAAGCGTTTCTGCTGTAACTCTGAGTTTCATTGTTTTAACCGATCATCGGACAGCAACTTGACTACAATTTTGGATGGTTGATATGTGTACCAGTCAACACAACCTGGCTGGCATTCTTGATACTTCAGTAGGACTGAAAGAGCTGTTGCTTGTGATGTGCTCTGTCTCTCTGTCTGTCTCTGTCTCTGTCTCTCTCTCTCTCCCTCCGTCTCTCTGTCTGTCTCTGTCTCTGTCTCTCTCTCTCTCCCTCTGTCTCTCTCTCCCTCTGTCTCTCTCTCTCTGTCTCTCTCTCTCTGTCTCTCTCTCTCTGTCTCTGTCTCTCTCTCTCTCTCTCTCTCTCTCTCTCTCTCTCTCTCTCTCTCTCTCTCTCTCTCTCTTTCTCATCGTCAGGACGAGGATAAAGTACTTACTATTCCGAATGCCCTGTCGGCGTTTCGCATCCTCATGGCTCCGTACGTTGGTTACCTGATCGTGCAGGATAGTCTGTCAATGGCCATGGGGCTGTTCCTGGTCTGCGGTGCCACTGATTCGGTAGGTTTACTGCACTACTTGTGTGTGTGTGTCTGTGTGTGTGTGTGTGTGTGTGTGTCTGTGTGTGTGTGTCTGTGTGTGTGCGTGCGTGCGTGCGTGTGTGTCAACCTGTCGGAAGGCTACCTTGTGTGTGTGTGTGTGTGTGTGTGTGTGTGTGTGTGTGTGTGTGTGTGTGTGTGTGTGTGTGTGTGTGTGTGTGTGTGTCAACCTGTCGGAAGGCTACCTTCTCTGTGTGTGAGTGTGTGTGTGTGTGTGTGTGGTCGCACACGTCTTTCTTCTCTTTCTCATTCTCCTAGCTCTTCTTTCATTCTCCTGGGTGGTTACCAACAGCCAGTGTATGCCGGAGTATGTGGTGTGGTGTGTGTGTGTGTCGAAAAAGAATGAAAAATGAATAAAATGAAAAATAGGGATTCACTGGCCAGAAAAAGCCACTTCAATCAGCTGTGTGGTGGATACCAGGCTAAAAGTAGTGGCGGTCAATTCATCAGCCTTGCAAGCTGTTGAATGGTGTAATCCCAGCACTAGTTGCTATGTCTAACATAGCTGTTCGCTATCATTGCTTCTGCGATGGGCAGGTCTGAAGTCTGACGTGTGTGTGTATGTGTGTGTGTGTCGATTTCCAATCGAGAGGATGCGGGCTCAATTCCCGACGATTATGGTCGCACACGTCTTTCTTCTCTTTCTCGGACTCTTCCTGACTTTTCTTTCATTCTCCTGGGTGGTTACCAACAGCCAGTGTATGCCGGAGTATGTGGTGTGGTGTGTGTGTAGAAAAAAGAAAAAAATGGAAAAATGAAAAATAGGGATTCACTGGCCAGAAAAAGTCACTTCAAACAGTTGTGTGGTGGATACCAGGCTAAAGATAGTGGTGGTCAATTCATCAGCCTTGCAAGCTGTTGAATGGTGTAAACCCAGCACAAGTTGTTCGCTATCATCGCTTCCACGATGGGCATGTCTGAGGTCTGAGGTGTGTGTGTGTGTGCGTTTGTGTGTGTGTGTATGTATGTGAGAAGACCATTTTCTCTTCTCTTTTTCTTGGATACATCTAGTTGCAATGATTGAAGCAGTCAGTGAGTGGACTCCTTATCTTGATAGAATTTGTGCGAACTCTGTGTAGCTCAGCAGCTGAGTGTTGACCAGTAATGCCTTCAACCCAAAAGGCGACTTCGGCAATAATGCGATAGGAAAGTTGTTTGCTCCCCACAATGGAGCTCGCACTTTATTGCCGAGCTTCCAGTGTGGGGAGCAACCCCACCGACCAACCAACTTTCCTGTGTTTATAAAACGCGAATTTAATATACCGTATTTTTCCGGTGTTGTAAGTCGACCTTTTACGACTTAAAATAGAAGGAGAAAGGGTGGGGGTCGACTTACAACCGGGATTCGACTTATAACCGAGAACTATCAGTATCTTACAAAAAATGACCTGCACTGCATGCACGAATGCACCATGTTTACACAGTTTTGCCAGTTTATTGGCCTTTTTCAAGGATTGGGACGTTATATCCTCCAATAAGGAATGTTTACATGATTTGTTGATGTGTTAGTAGCAGGAGGTGGTTAGTAGTGCTTCTTTGGGTGAAAACTTTAAAACACAGAATTGAGACCTCCAGATACGGGGGTCGACTTATAACCGGGGTCGACTTACAACCGGTAAAATACGGGGTATTTCAACGTGTCCCACCCTCTCTATTTGAACTATCAACAGACAACTGGTATGGTGTTGCTGCTTTTGCCATGCAACCTGTGCACTAGTATAAAGTGAGAAGCATACAAGAGCGAAATTACTGAACATGATGGGTCCTTCAACTAACGAATATAATATATGACTCAGCAACATACTTATTTTAGTGTCAGAGGGGTGTGTTCTATTTGATATTCCTTGAGTTGGTGTCCCACTGACTGGTGCATGGTTCCGACGAGGGTTTTTTAAAGGCTACCTCGTGGTCTTACCAGGCTGCAGTCGTCTAATCTGCATAGCATCATGTATGGTAGTTTTCATTGTACACTCTGTGTGTGTGTGTGTGTGCGCGTGTGGGTGTGTCTGTCTGTCTGTCTGTCTGTCTATCTGTCTGTGTGTATGCATATCATGTGCTTCTGCCTGTCCAGATTGATGGCTACATTGCTCGTCGGTTCCCGGGTCAGCAGTCCGTGCTGGGCAGTGTGCTGGATCCGCTTGGTGACAAGCTGATGGTCGGCATTATTTCTCTGTGTTTAACGTACACTGGCCTCTTTCCTTGTGAGTCCTAGCCGTGTATTTGTGCGTGTGCATGTGTGTGTGTGCTGTGAATTATATATTATAGCCTTGGCATGTGACGGATTTCGCAGATGCACTTGGATGCTTCCTGCATCTCCATTGACATAGCGTATGCCTTGGGCATTTGGCCTAACCTCAGCTTACGTTGCTAATCACTCAAATTCTTTTATTACTGTTTAGCACAAGAGTTATGTCGTATCCGAATCTCATATAGCATAATTTGTGCTATATTGATTGTTGTTGTTGTTGTCGTTGTTTGATTGTTTGAATTCTTTATTCTCAGTCTAGGGGTGAAACAATTATACCGACTATTCGAGTACTCGCTCTGTTTTTCAAGAATAATCGTACTCAGAATAAATCAGAGTACTTGTTCATACATGGTACATGCATATACCATGGAAATCTGCAGTTTTAGAGCAGCAGTCGGTAGATATTGATGTGCAGACTGTGTGGTGAACATTTGTACATGATTAGAGGGAGCCCAAATGACCCACCAATCAATAAACCTGAGAAAAATGACTGCCACTTGATGTGACATTTTTAGGAGATGAAGAATATTCGATTGGAAAAATCAGAGAACTCGAACTCGGGATCTTAACGCCAACTTTCACCCCTAATTCTCGCGATGGCACCATCGCCAATAAGAGATAGTTGTTGTTGTTGTTGTTGCTGCTGCTGCTGTTGTTGTTGTTGTTGTTGTTGACAGGAATAGGTTGCCTGATGATCATAGTAATACGTGAAACTCAGAGTTGCGACACAGCTTCCAATCTCTCTTGTGTTAACAGGAATATGAATATAGAAAGTATTTAGCGAAATTGAATAGTTGGAGGGTATTGCACTTTGGTACGGAGGGTATTGCACTTTGGTACGCATCTATTCCTAGTCCGGTGGTCACATCTGGAAGAGCACACATGCATGACAGGAATGGGGTTTCAGAAATGATAGTACTGTACTGTACTGGTCCTCTAGTACGTACAGGCTACACGTGCAATTACTGGCCGCCTTTGGTGCGTAAATTCATTCACCAAAGGCCACAGATGATTGATTGGAACTTATTATTATAATTATGATAAATCTGAAGGACGGTTCAACACGAGAGTCTCGTATGGGAGACAGCAAGGTAGAGCGACAACTTATCTACCACAACTTCACTTGAACAAGAGAGTCTCGTCACTGAGTAACTTCAGCCTGTCAAAGTCTCGTAAGAGAGTGAGTCGGAGAGTGAATGCGAGTATAATGAATCCTACAAGAGAGGGAAAAGGCGAGCGGGAAAAGACGTGAACGGGAAAAAGGTGACAGGGAAAGGTTGAGCGTCAAAAGGGGGGATCAGCCGAGCACAGACTAGACAGTAAGGGGGAAAGAGGTCAGCAGTGCGTAACAGGACAGGGGAAGCGGAAAGAAGTCCGCCGGAAATGCATGTGTGTGTATGTGCGTGTGTGTATGCGTAGGGAAGGATGTGTAAATGGGTAAGGCGGTCGATTCTTAGACGACTGTCTGGATGGCATTTGTCACTTCGTTGAGCGTCCGCAATCTGCTTCATTGTTAGTGGCCCGGCGACCTCGGCAGTAACAGCAACAGCTACTATGTCTCCACCCTTCACCTCCTCAACAAGGAGTCGGTACACGAGTGAGCACATCAGCTTGGTTTTTATCCGTGGGCATCCACTCCACAGTAACTACCAGGTCTCAGGTAGTGATCATGTCCGCAACAATCTGCAGACGACGTTGAACCAGAGTTCCGTACAAGCCCTTGGCTCGCACTCGACAAACATTGCCGACAACATCACGCAACCAGCTGGCCCGTTTGTGACATCTGGTCCATGGTTGGTTGACATCGTCGTCACTCTCAGTGTCGCGTTCAGAAGTGCAGGTGTCTTGTTCGAATCGAGCAGTACGGGGATGAGGAGCTGGCTGGGAGCTCATGACCATGACTAGGGTGGTGCTCACTTCTTCTGCTGCGATCCCTTGCGAGTTGCAGCTCAACCTAGGGCACCTTTTTTTCTTGTACTTGTAGAACGTGGCCAAATGGACCTGCATGCCATCGAAGTGTTATTGTTCTTGCTGCTCTTGCTGCTGCTGCCACCTTCCATTGTTGTTGTATGTGCTGAACACGGCCAGGGCAGTTGCTTAGCGCGATTCTATTGAAGGACGTTGGCTTGATCGTAGCCAGCCTTGCCGTACGCTACCACACTCTTGAAAAACCGGTAAGGGGCCGACATTCTTTGTTTTTGTAATGAACCAGCTGTCAAAGTTTCTTCATCCCCCCCCCCCCCCCCCCTCCCTCACCTTTCCTCACAGTTCAACAGAGAAAAATTGAATCCTAATCATGGTCTGCTTGGATGTGTAATCCGGTATTCCGGAAGAGCTTTAAGGCTATGTACTCACCTATGCTTGTTACACTCACTTATCTGCGTTTATTGCTATAGAGAAACTGTATTGATGCATACAGCACACTGACTTTTAAGGCGAGTGAATGTCCATTCCCCTTCAGCCAAGAGCCATGTTTTCGATTTGTGTACCCTGTACCAATGTGGCAACCAAGTGGTGTTAATATCCGGGGTGTGAACTCCACTCTGAGACAAGTTGACTTTTTATCATTCTCGTCCTCTGTGTGCACCCGTCTTATTTATTGTATAATTGCTGTGGCTGCAGAAAACTCTGCAGCGGTTTTTCGACGTTACCAATGCTACTGTCCAGTTCAAGCCAAACACAATTGGCAAGGTTAGTGCTGCGGTGGTATTGTGTGGTGGTGTGGTAGCAGTGTGTTGTTCCTGCCCGTACGCCTAGCTCTGGCAAGTGTCTCACACCTACCGCTTGCCATCTCTGGGTAATGCAGGGCATGCGCAGAGTGTTCTCTTAACACCTCTTTTGCAGTGCAGTGGCACGTCCCTTAGGGCGCGTTCAGACTACCGTGAACCCCGTCAAACCGTGAATGCCGATAAACCGTGAAGGACATTCACACTACCGATAACAAACTAACGTTACCGTGAAGTTTTCAGCTCTCACCGCGGCACTGACAAGGGATTTTCCCTTTTTTTCGCAGCGCGCATGCAGCCTGAGCACTTTTTTACTGCCGGTAAAAGTTTACTGCCGCAGCAGCCGCGGCAGTAAAACTTTCCCACCGGTAACGTGCCAGTAACGTCACGTGATCAAATCACCTCGGCGACTTTCCCAATCGGTCACTTTTTATCGGTAGTCTGAACGCGCCCTTAGCGAGCACCTCTCAACTAAAGCATAATTCACAATACCACTTTCTGCAAGGTGTCTGTATTTTGAGAGATTCCGCTGTAAGTTCCTTTTTGTTCAGCATTATGTTTCAATTGTTTTGTACAACGCATCTCATCTAACTTTCTACATTATCTTGTACTTGTATGGTTTTCTCCTCCTCGCCACCCTGCACACTAGCGAGCGATGTTCCTTCAGATCCTGGCGATTACGTCAAGCCTGGCGGCCCCCATTCTCTCTCTTGCCAACCATCCAGCGCTTGTCGGTCTGTGGTGAGTAAATTGTTTTCGCCTTACCAGTTGTTTTTTCCGTGTAGAACTAATGTGTTTGCTTCCAATGGCTGACTTCCTTTGCTAGCTTACTTTAGCTTCTTGAGATGTGCATGTCTGGGGTGGGGTATAGAATTATGCCATCGACTGTTGTAGTACATTAGCAGATGCAGCCAATTCCTGATTTGTTCTTCACCTACCCCGGCGTCCAACCACCTATGTGCACACATTGTTGACATACTCCTGGCCAAGCACAGTGCGATGTCTCGCTTTCACAGTAGCATATTCAGCCTTGTGCAAGTTGAAGTTGCCGCTGCGTTGCGCAATTTCCGTAATCGCAGGTCCATCCATGTGATAAGTTGCCAATCTCCTCCGTATCTGACCAAGATGTGGTAGTTGGCTGAGGTGGCCTGTGACAAACCTGCAGCCCGAAGGTTGGTATGAAAAGCTGCAGTAACCTCATATGGTGTCACAACTGAAGCAAAGCCCTATGACTTTATGTCACACGCCTTCGCCAGTTTTGGGGGCCATAGTCTTCAAGCAGGCAAGCCAAGGCCCTTTGGAGATCGGATCCAGCATGTAGAGGATGTGCGTATCTCCATTCTCCTTCCACAGTGGTATCTACCTTGTTCACGACTGCACTGTCACCATCACCATCACCGCTTCACATGATTTCCTCGCATTTCCTTTTTTGTGCTGTCTCCTCGACGATTGTTTAAACTTCCTTTTTTTTCATTAGGCTTTGATGCCGGAAAGCACGTCATGACGTTATTTGAACCAAACGGAGAGCTGCATTGTCTTGCCATCTCGAGGAACCGCAAGAACGAATTGCCGATTTCTTTTCCTGCGGGCATTGGCACATTGTATGGCACCGGGAAATCTGTTTTTCGACTCTTCTGAGAGCGCTGCCCATCATCTTGCAGGATGTGGCGGAAGCGCATGTGTTCTGTGTTCACGATGGGTCGGCGTTCGTATCTTTTTGTTGTTGGTGCGCTCAGGTGGGTGACTGGGGCGGCTACCGTTGCCTCTGGTCTCAGCTACATTCCCGGTAGCGGCTTCAAGAAACTGACCAAGCGCCGTTCGTAGGATGTGTCTGGCTACCACATGCTGTACTGCAGGTCAGTACTGCAACTGGCAAGAGAGCACACATGCACGCACGCACACATACTCAAACACATGCCTGTGTTCACTTCATTGTGCGCATGGCAACAGTGGCCAAGCTGCTATTGGTGCATTAGCTGTTACGGTAGTGCTTGTGCACAGTTACCCTGTCAAGTTGCAGTGTACCGGTGCTGGCAAGGCAGTGGTGTGATGTTCGTCTGCTGTAGTAATAATCATGCCAGCTGAAGGAGATAGAGAGGGGGGGGGGGGGGGATGCCTGGGATGCTGGATCATCCCATCATAGCACATTTCTGAGCGCTTGTTTTGATTATACTTTTCTCCTTTTTTCGTTTAGAAGCATTCTGACCTCTAGGTTGGAGTTCGGTCTCATGCAACCTCCTTTTTGACCGTTTTGTTTTCAGTGTGCAGCTGACAATGTATTGTCTAACATTTTAATAGCAATCATTTTTCCTAATGGTGGCCTGGATCGCCTCGAACTTCAGCGTCTCTGGCAGCACCCACATGCGCTGCCAGCTGATCCCCCGCTCACATACTCCTCACATAGGCCCATCACACAAGTACACTGTACTGCATTCCATGAGATTGACTTGACTTGAGCATTAGTATCATGCTAGCTTAGTAACCCATCGAATACACGCTGGCTGTCGCTAGTGTAGCCTTTTCTGATTTATCTTGTCAGTGCGTTGACTTCTTGACTGAGTTTATTTTCTCTGAGATATGCACGAATATTGACTTCTTGAGCATTTAAAAAAATATCCTTTAGTTCCTTGTTTTGCCTCTGCCTGCACGGTTGGCGTCGTTAGGGCACACATTGTCCGGTATTGCCGTGGTTGATTGGGCGGAGACGTGACGGCTCTTCTTTCTCTGCCATGGAAGCGGCCAGTGTTTCATCATGTTGCGCATGTAGATGTTGTAAGAAGCTCCCATGCCCTCACACATGTAGTAACAGTGCTGCAGTGTAAGCTACTAGTAGTTGTTATCGAGCACTGCTTTTCGTGAGGAGGAGAGCAGCGTGCAGTAACAGTATGAGTAGTGCATATTGGCATCTCCTCCCCGTACTACAATCTCCTCCCCGTACTACATGATTGTACTGTAAGAGTTGAATCTCTAACGGGGCACAGAGTCTAGCGTTTCAACGAGAGAGAAAATTCATCGTTAACTCAAGAAACGATACAGGTCAGTTATTCCATCTCTCCTCTTCACTAGAGATCTAGAAGACAGGTGTGTGCTGGCAGGGTCGTTACGTTAAACGTTGTGCCCGCCATGGGATTTTTTGCATAATCGTTAGACTCGTCACACTTTCAACTCCTACTGTAATTGATAACACATACTGTACAGGCAGAAAATTTCGTCGGTCAATAATGTCGTCCAACTCCAAAGAAAGGGAGTTCGTCAGGTTGAAAATTGCGTCCATGGATCACAAGAGTGTATTAAAAAGCTGGACAAATCGACTTTAGTCCGGCATTTAATTTAGTCCAAAGCTCCTTGGACGAAGAAGACGAACATTTCTGCTTATACAGTACATGTACATCAACTTTCTTGTTGCTGATGCTACTAGAGTAGAACTTCACATGTAACTACATGGACCCGGGTATCCGGAATCCTTTTATTCGATGCGTTCACAATCGAAACACACCCTTTAATGAGAGTCTGACTATCGGCTGGACGAGAATGGAGAATTGAAGGCGAACAAACACACCGTGTCGATATTGCTGTCCGACCCGTTCCAGAGTTGCGAGTCCAAAATCCTTGTCTCTTTTTCCATTTCTTTCTTTCCTCATGTGACATACCATACCAGTATAAGCGCCGTGCTTATATATTTTTCAATCCCCCTCTCATACTTACGCCAACAATACCAGGTTTCCCGGTATTCTACCGGAAAACTAGGGCAAATACCAGCCTACCGGGAATTTGTGAAGAACGAAAGGGAAATAGCGCAGAACCACGAGTCTTCAGAAACAACTTTTTGCGGTGTTTGAAATGCGAATTGTGACCAGTGCGCCGCACATACACCCGATTTCTCTGTTGGTGTCGGAGGAATCCATGAAGTGAAGCAGTAGAAGCATGCGAAAACATACAACGTTGCCAGTTGTGTCTTTCAAACCACAACGAAATGAAGACGCAAAGCGAAAACCAGGATTGCGGGCAAAAAAAGAGAGAAAACTGGCCGAAATTGGCAACAAAAAAATCAGGGTGACAGGAGAAAACTAAGGGAAACTGGGCGTGTGTGTAAGGGAACAGAGTTGGCTGGGTTGGGTAAGTATGTATACTAGGCCTAATGTATACCCATTACGTATACGCTTATACTGGAGACCGTGCTTGTATGTTTTCAACCAATACATGTATATTCGTTCAGAGCCAGGAGAAATACATGGCAGATATCATGCATGCAACACTAAACTCCACTCCAAAAGAAGTGCCCATAAAGGGAAGCGAACATAGACGCACGCGCGCGCCCACACATCCACACAAACACTCAAGTTTCGAGGCCAGTTTCGGTTTACAGATCGTCGTCATCGTTGTCATCCTCTTCACTCTCTTTCTCTCTCTCTCTCTCTCTCTCTCTCTCTCTCTCTCTCTCTCTCTCTCTCTCTCTCTCTCTCTCTCTCTCTCTCTCTCTCTCGTTGTGATAGTCTCCTCCTTCACGCACCTCCTTCACGCATCATCTTCTCTTCTTGCTCGCTGTGCTTATCATCGGGTGCCAGTATGGACTCAGAGATGATGTTGCAGCCTGACTGTACTATATACATGGTGTAGCCAACAATTTGGACGACTGAATATGGTACAACGTCAATACATCGGGTATACATGAAAACATGTAGTGATTGTCCTGACAGAAATGCAGAAAATCCAGGCCGATTGTCCAGGGTAAAATCCAGGCATTGTCCTGGGTAAAATCCAGGCATTGTCCTGGGTAAAAAAAGAGAGTGAATGTAACCACCATGCATGCCGGTATGTTAGGTTGCTTGCAGCCAGGCCCTAAGTGAGGCTCAGCTGTACTGCTGCCTTAGGCCACCCTTTGTTAATTCATTGTTTAACGTCCTTTTTTTCGCGAAAAGGTACGCGGGAGGGCGGAAAAAAAACAAAAGCCCGTTCCAAAAACTGGAAACCCAATCAAACATTTTGACCAGTAAAGCATGTGATATATACAATATTTCTGGGTCTAACGGCACTTGCAGGCATAGAACAACACTCTTTGATGGTACATTGGAGCACATGCCTGATGAATCCAACAAAACAGGTACATAGCATGGAGTTAGCATGTCATGAATTCATTACATCTGGATTTTTACTTGGACACACACCGTACGATATTTAAAAGCCAACAAAAAAAGAAAAAGAACACAAGACAAAGGCATGCCCGGGCCGGGAGGCAAGATTATAAGTTTAAGGTCATGATCGGCACACTGTGAAACTACACAATCATGTATTTACAACTTCGCATATTATTAGTACTACTACTTTCTTGGGTTTTTTTCCGGTCGGAGGCAAAAAGGTACGCGGGCGCGGACGTTAAACAACGAAAAAAGAAAGGGTGGCCTTAGTCTTAGCTGCACTGAGCACATACCAGCACTGCTATACATGCATACTTGTGAAGCTTACCAGTCAGTACTGCGCTGCACTCGGCTTCAGCGCTAGTACTCCATGAGGGACTTCTGCTGGACCATATCCTCCAGCCTTTTCACAATGGTCTGGAACGATGGTCTCTCCTGTACGTCTTTATGCCAGCATTTCTCCACCAGAGTTCGATAGTCGTATGGCATGCGTGCTGGCAGGTCAGGTCGACGGCCTGCAATCACTTGGCTGCGGATTTCTTCGAAATCAGAAGTGCCAGGGTATGGTGTCTGACGACTGAATATTTCCCACAGGACGATGCCATAGCTGCAGAAGGAAGTAGTGTACAAAAGGAAACTTTCAACAGATGCAGAACAAATACACCAGTTTCATACCATGGCTGAAGACTGGGGAAGAGCACATCTCATTTTTGAAATAGACAGCTCAGGCTAAATCTCCACTGTACCGGTAACAGCTGAGGTCAAAGACTCAAACTTAAAAAAAAAGCAAACCACCCATATACTAACATGGGCTAATTTGTACTCGTGATGCGATGGAATTTCGTTTATACTCTCTTACCCAATGCTGTAGACAGCAAGCTGTTTCGGCCATAAAGGCCTCATCAGTACAGCTACGAGCTAAATAGGCCGAGCTACCAGCCATGATGCAAAGGAGGCACCACAGACATTAAGATAGCTCATCGCTCTAGCGCCAGAGTGCAAACTGCGAAAAGTAGCAGGCAATGCGTGATGCAGCAGCACTAGAGCAGCCTACCGAGATTGCTCAACAAGACGAAAGCCGAGGAGCGTAATACCCAATGCTGGAGACAGCAAGCTGTTTCGGCCATAAAGGCCTCATAAGTACAGCTCTCTTACCTGTAAACATCTGTAGCACAGTTGAACTTCGTGTCAGTCAGTGTTTCCGGAGCGCTCCATGCACTTTCCACGTATCGCCTCGACACCCCACCTCCAATAAGCTTCCTACACTTTGTCGGTGACATCAGCAGAAGTGCTTGACTCTCGTCAGTCTCACTCTCTTCCTCGGAGTTCGGGAAGAGTGCTCCCTGAGTTCCTGACACAAGTTCACTGCGATCTTGACATGTTCCACCTTGCTCATCTGCTCTGGACAGTAGACCCATCATGCCAAAATCAGCCACTTTCACCACCCATTTCTCCGTCACTAGCAGGTTTGGTGTTTTCAGATTACAGTGGATGCGGGCAGGGTCCAGTCCATGCAGAAACTTCATGCCCCGTGCTGCCTGCAAGGCAAAGCGCAGTGAGTCATCTGGCGTAACACTGATGTCATGATCGTGGAGGATTGCATGCAGTGAACCTCTCATAGCATGCTCCAGCACAATGAACGGCTGATTCGTCTTGGGATCCGTGCCGGCACCCAGGAACATTATCACATTCTGGTGTCGAACACGTCGGAGCTCCTCCGCCTCCAGATAGAATTTCTCTTTTCTCGTCTCTGCCATCTTGATGTTTCGTAGCAGCTTCACAACTACTCTGGTGTCGAAGACCTTGGCCAGCCAGATAAAGCAAGCTCCTGTCTTGGCTATGCGGTGAAGCAGGTTGATCTCATGGCGTTCAATGATACGACTGCGAGCTAGTTCGCGCAGGAGTTTCTCAATGTCACTGAGACGCTGCTCCATGGACTGCAACTCCTTATCCTTCTTCTGGGATTCTTTCTTTGTCTTGATGCATGCACGGATAGTAGTGAGCAAGACTGCAGCAAACACAACTGCAGATCCAACAGCAGCGGCAATGAAGATCAGTGGTAACTGACAGTTATCATACTGCACATAGCCCACAGGGCACGAACAAACAGCGGATCCGTTCACCACTAGGCATTTGCCTCGATGACAATGATCGTTTGCGCATGGATTCTGCGCAAAGCATGACTCCTGGTTGTCTGTGAAGTTTGTCAATTGGAACCCAGGACAGCGGCGACAAACGTCTGAGAGTGTGTCGGAGTAGAACCCGTTCTGACATGGGCTACACTTCTTGGTCCAGTCACCGCCATTGCCCCAGCCAATTGGACAAGTGTGTTGAGTGAGTAATCGTCCAGTGCAAGTTGTTGAAGCTGACATGTATGACAGTGGAGCATCTTTGAGCGTCACAAGGCTGGCCTTGTTTGATGTGGACATGCCGCCAAACATATAGTTCTCGTAGACTTGGTGGAAAGCAACAGGCACGTGCCTGAAATACGGCAGGACATCCACTGCACTTCGATTGCTGTCGTTGAACTGTAGGAAGTGAGCAGTGCAGGCATTGTAGCAAGGGTAGCCAGCACCCATTTGACTGCCACCAAGCAGCAGGAAGGCATGCTCTGAAAGGACACTCAAAGTGTGTCCGTACCTGTTCTGTGGGAATGATGCCAGTGCGCTGTGTTGTATGGCGCTGCACGATGCCGTTCCGCGTTCTGTGCCAAGTTGGTGGAGGTGCAGCCGGAAGAAGTCGCCACATTTGTGCTTTTTCTGCATGTCAAATTGTCCACTGACACCGCCATAGACGTAAATATCATGGCTTCCGGTGACTGTTACGGAATGTCCAACAAGTGTGGGCAGACCTAGTTTGCCTGTGCTCAGGGACCACCATTGACTATGGCATGTAGATAAATTGTTGAAGACCAAAGCACTAATATTTCCAGTGGGCAGAAGCTCCAAAGTAGACGTATCAACCACAGCCATACCACCATATGCTATTAGAACTGGATTACCACTGTCTTCAGTCACTGTAAATACTGCTTGTCCCAGGACAGTACTTGCTCTAGGTAGAGGCGCCAGGTGCCTATCTCCAATGCTGGCTTTTTGCCAGTAGTGCTTGTGCAGGTCAAAGCACCATACGTCAGATGAGGCATTCCCCTGCAACACGCGCGTGCCTCCGATCATAACGGCTTTACTGACACTTTCTGAGTGCAGTTTTACCACGGAGTGCAGAATAAGAGACGGTGGTGTGGCACCATGTTGCTGGATGCTCTTCTTCAGGTAGCCACCCGTATTCGGTAGGTAGAACCATACTGGGAAGGTACTGTATCTTGGTATCCGAGTCTCACTGCTATCATCATTCGTACCCGAGCATAGGCTACCAAGGAACACCAGTGCTCTTGTCTCGTGGGAATTCGGCTTCTCTGAATGTAGCATGGTTTCCACGGGTGTAGGTGAAAAACATCTGAAATTCCCAACAAACTGGAAGGCTTGATCCTCACGGGCTGTAAGCGGATTGATATCAACAGGTGCCTCCGGAGATGTTGTCACAGCACTAGTATTTCCATATGCACATGCCTTGTTCATGTCGGACTTGATTGTGAACACAAGCTCTTCACTTTGAATGCGGTATGCGTCCGTGACAATCACACGGTGATTGTGCACAGTCACCTCCATCCGGGTATACTTTTCAATGCCCTTCGCATAGCGTTGCCTTATTACGGACTGCTTACTGAGCAGTGTGGATCCATGGAAAGACCAGCATAAGCTGGGCATGTCAAATACCCACACATCAAGTCCTTCCAACATAGTATACATGGTAGCCCACACAACGATACGTTCTTGGACGACGATTAGCTGTTGATTCTCCATATCATAGCTGCCCAAAGGTCGCTGTGGAAGACAAGAGTGGCAGGCATGTTCCAGACAGCGCTGTGGCGGAGCGGGCAGTTCTGTCCACTTCCGTGTAGCTACTTCAAACATCCACAAATCACAGAGTGCTGTGTATCCATCTTGGACTCGAGTAGTTCCGCTGTACATCAACAGTGTTGTTTCATTCACCGACACAACCAAGGGTGACACTCTACCTTGTGGCCATTCTGCTTCCTGCTGAGATCCATTTGTCATTGCGGCCTGTGCATTTCCTGGTGGATGTAGAAGTTCCCACTCTGGTTGCTCCTCCTGTTCTCCAGTAGCAGCATTCACTATGCGCAGTCTCCATACTTGGTCAGAATATACCCAACCATAGCGACACGGTGGTGCATACTTTGTGCGATTAGCACATCTAGTTCTACCACCAAACACCAGTAGATCCGTGCGCTTCGTCGAGTCCTGATCTACTGCCACTAGAGTGTGAAATCGACGTGGCACTTTCTCACCCCCTACAGCATTCAGCAACTCGAAGTTCTCTTCCACAATTGTCCAGCTTTGCACCAAAGAGCAGTTGGGATGGCTGCCAAAACCGAACAGGTAGACTTGTTGGCGTGCGTGGCTGAAGGCCAGAGCAGGTCGGATGCTGCTGATGTCCAGGCATACAGCCGGTAATCCCCGCAGACGCAGTGCTGGATGCAGCCACCAAGTTTGCCCATCGTTTTGCGATACATCATAGGAGTAGTGAAAGATACGATGTGGATCGTCATTGTCGAGTGCGAGGAGTTCCAAAGCAGGGTACGTCAAAGTGAACTCGTTGTCTTTACGCTTCACGGCGCTGGGGAGCATGAGTGGTCGGAATAACGCCGAATCTGGCCTCAATAGATCAAATTCTCCTTGTTGAGCCGCTTGCTCGGAAGTAAATGGCACCAGGAGTGAAGGCAACTTGCTCAACCTGTTCTTACCACTGGCTGTTTCGTCAGCATCCTCACCATTTTCTTGCACTTCAGCGTAGTTGGTAGGTCTGGCGCGGCCTCTATCGCCTGCTCCGATCCCGTGAGCCCGAGTATTCCCTTCAGCTGGAGGAGATCTAGCGGATCTTTCATTATCCTTGGCTGAGGTTCGACCGAGTCTGTGGGTATTGCTATCACCATGATCAGTTCTGGTCATGCTGAGCGATGTATGTGAGGTCATTGCCACAATCCGGTCAAGGACCTGGAACAGTGACTGGCTCCCTCCAGATCCAGCACTAGCACTACGCGCCTTGGATGTAAATGACCGCATGGTCACGCCGCCGGCCAATGCCTGCCTCATTGACATTGTTGAGTGGTCATTGGTGTATTCCGCCTCCTCTTGCGAAACCACGTTGGCCGGCAGCCCCAGAAAGCTTCCTACGAAATGGACGAGCGCGAAAGCTGTAATGAGCGCCGACATGGTCCGACTGCGTACTTGCAGCGTAGTTCGCAAGCCCGGGTCACTTTTTTTTATGGCCAAGTCACAAGACTGTGCATGTGGCTCGATTTGTAAATTATTTCACCAATCTGATTCTTGGTATCCGAATGATTGCAAAGCCCAATAATAAAATAAGACAGTTATATTCTCCAACTACAAGTTGTGTTCTCAATGCCAATGATTCATCGCTCACCCCACAGGGGGCTGGGCTGGTCTCCTTTTGTCAACATCCGATTTGGCACACTAATGAGTATGACTGCCAAAATGTTATAATTATTATAACGAGAACTGAAACGTGGAAGAACGTCGTTGTCCAAGTCTCTTTTACACTGCCACGCAAGCTTATCGTTTTTTCTGGTGCAGGTCTGCCAGTTTTCTCTGGTCCCCATCGATGATGGCGGTCGGAAACACAGAATACAGGTAACTGATTTTACTAGGCAGTAGCTTACTACTATACTAGGCAGTAGCTGATCCGAGCTGGAGCCAGATGAGATGCATGGTCGCAACCTTCCACCGATCATCACTGCTTGATAATGATTATGCAGCTAAACTAAACGGTATTCACCGGTATAAATGAGTGATCGCAATCACCAGGTGTTCAATTGCAGTCCGACGCAACATTGTATTCCTAGTGTAGAGTGTGTGATGAAAAAAGCGCGTCAACAAAATGTCCGTCACGACGGAAACGGGCTGAGAAGAAATCGTTCGAGCATATCTTCAATGGAAATACCCCAAACTAACTAACTTCCTTGCGTAATTAGTGCCAAGCACGTGCCACGTACAATAATACTGGCTCCAGGCTAGCTGGAACGAATATTATTTTAGCCTGTGGCCCAAAAGGAAACTACATGACTTTACTCGTACTGTCAAAGTGTCATGTACCTGGCCTCTTTTACGGGCAAATTAACACATGAGGACGTATTGCAGTTCTACTGGCTTGCACTCCTATTGCCTATTGGGATCAATGGTGCCCTGAGTCTGACCCGGAGGATAATTAGTTAATTACCTGCGCACTAGTAATAATGTATGCCGTCAGCATCAGTGCACAGACTACATGACTGTAGTGTTTTCACGATCTACAAGTACAAGGACTATCATAATCATTATGTTATGTAATAGACTAATAGTAATACTAGTACCAGTTGTAACCAGGCTGCACTGCCTGTAGTGTAGACCATGGTACTAGTAGACGACTACAAGTACAAGAGTATTTTTTCCCAGGCCAGAGTTCAAATCGCTGGTATGGTAGGGAACCAGCAGAAGCTGTTCAGTAGTGCACGCATGCGTATCGTTGGATTCGCCCAGCAATGAACCGTGAGGCAGTGCCGGAATCGCGGCCGGCTACACCTATACATGTATAAGTAGTTCTTTGACTTACAAAGACTTTGTGTTATTAGCGTCCATCAGCTTACAAGTAGGGGAGTTACATGCATAGTATCTACACCAAGTTTGTAGACTAGGGTCATCATGGTCATAGGGAGACGACACGGTGGATGTGCGGGCGACGGACTGAGTGTATTATATTATTATTACATGTATGTGCTTGTTCGCGTAGACATCAGCATGGCCTGCAGCTGCATTAATGGGCACGCAAACCATGCAAACCAGCCAAAAGTGTTCGCATAAGCCACTTCGAATAGATACAAAAGACCACAACAGTTTCAGAAAAAAAGAAGAAATATGCGAAAAGAAGACAAAAACTAGGGTGCCGACACCACTCGGGCACAGATGCCCACCCAACCGCTTCGATCAGCAGCAAGGGCACGGAACGCCTCCAGATCGACTTTGCTTGACAAGGAAAGTCCAATCCGCTTGGCATCATCTTGTAGTAGCGTTGGTAATAATAATAATATTGAAATATCTTCATTAGGATGACCCAGAGGCTTGTCGCCTATCAAGGGGTTCACCGCTTTGAAGGATGTACATGTACATGTACATGTACATGTATGAGCTAAAGTGAAAGTAGTGAAAAGTTGTGCAGCGTGAATGCGTTGGGGAGCACACAGGGGGACCGGGGGGTATGTACATGGCGTAGGCATACCGGAGAGCGAAGCACTATGTTTGCAAGTGAGTTTGCGAAGCTCATTCTTGAAAACAATAATGGATGGTTCTGCAGTTAGTCTTGGTGGGAGGCAGTTCCATAAGAGGGAGGTTTGGAAGAGAAACAACGATTTTGATGTGGTCTTTGCTTTAGGGAGAATAATTTTGTTAGGGCGTCTCGCACTCTGCGTGATATTGAAATGGAATGAAGCTAGGAAACGTCGATACTTGAAAATAAATTTGTGCATGGTAACTAAGCTTAAAAACTGCCTGCGGTAAAGAAGGGATTCAATGTTAGCTTTTTTATTAAGATCCTACTTGGGTGTATTAAAGTCGATTCGGATTTTGCGTTTCCTAAGGTATGATCTTGCAAACCTGGCCTGGACTCTATCCAGCTCAGTCAAGTCGCTTGAACGAAGACGGAAGGACCACACTACGACGCTATACTCAATCATACGCGTACGTGAAGGAGAAGTCTGCGACAGACCAGCTTATTATACTTACCCAGCAAATGGCCGACTACATTGATGAGCGTCTGAACTTCGACCTGGTCTCCCTAGATTTCTGCAAGGCATTTGACAGAGTAAGCCACTCAACTCTCCTCCGTCAAGTCAGCAACTTCTCGGACCATAAAGTCACTGCCTGGACTAAGAGTTATTTGCAGGATCGAAGCATAGCCGTGAAGATTGAGTCATGCATGTCAGTGCCCAAAGTCACCAACTGTGGTGTTCCCCAGGGATCGCATCTGTCTCCTCTACTGTTCGTGATCTACATTAATGACCTACCAGAAGCCATACATCATTCGCACACCTTCTTGTTTGCGGATGATGTCACTCTACTTTTGCCGTACAAAGGCTCTCTGTCAAGTCCTGGTATCCAAGCGGACATTCATGCATGTCAAAACTGGGCCAGGGAAAGAGGCGGAGAGTTTTCGCCCTCAAAAACTTCTGTTTTAAGCTTCCGTTATAAGCCAGTGGCAGCATCATCACCAGCACCAACATCTGCCACCTACACTATGGAGGGTCTACCTCTTCCCAGTATTGACATCCTCAAACATCTGGGAGTTCGCTTCAGTGCAGACCTAAACTTCCGTCAACACTACCTTGACATCAGTCGCAAATTCAAGCAGAGAGTAAGCCT